ATTTTGTCAAAAAATGGGTACTTTAAAAGCTCGTAAAGCACGGAAACGTGTCAGAAATTCAGGGGAAGCATATAGGAACATATTTGTGGTGGTGGATTTTGCCGGCGTTGCGCGAGGGCCGAAATTTTGCAAAGAGTAGTGGGCGTTCGCAGCGAACCCGGAAGTAAAGTGGGCGTTCGCCAAGAAGAGAAAAAAACCAGTAAATTTCGATTTATTTAAGTTCGGCTCGATGGATTCGCTTCAAACTTGGCATGGACACCCGGGAGCACACTCTGGACATGACCACACAAAAAATTTTAAGATTCGTGCGACAATTTTTGGGCTTTCGTGGGCGTTCGCTAAAAAGAGAATGCGCATTGGGACCTCAAGGATGAACGCTCTGCGGAACCAACTTACGAACTTTGGGGGGTGGCTAGACAGATCATTTATTTCAATAGTTGGATGTCGATCAACAACTCATCCCTTCATGCTTTTAAATTTTGGAAATAAAAAGTAGAAAAAGCGTTGGAAAAGGTTGTTACTGTTAGCCCATGTATACTGCATATTAACCCATTATGCGGTCGGTTGAGGCCGGTTGAGGTCGGTTTAGGTACAATGTATTTAGGCAGACCCTAATACAATGAGGACACAAAAAGGATGTTTTATTGCATTATTGCCCTTGTACATCATTACTACTGACAATAATTGTGACATTAGATTCTTAACTTTTCAGTGATGTATAACATATTGGGGGAATTGTGGAGAAAGGAAACAAAAACTGAGATTTATAAAAGTAGCACCCCCTCTTATATATTAAAAGGGGTCTGGAAACTGAGATCACGTACTAGACAGAAACTCCAGCAGCTTGAGGGTTAAATGTCATTAAAGACATAATCAAAATATCTACTCTACATGTACATCTCTATAGCCTATTCATGTCTAGGGTGGCATATGTACATTGTACAGCATCATTATCAAAGTAGATGTAAAGGAACATATCTATAATCATTTCCAAGCATATGAAAAAGTTATCTCCAAGCAGATGTTGGTGGCATCCATGATCTGACTATTGAGTCATCTTCAAGTTCAAGCAGATATAGAGTATATACCTATATGCCACTCTATATTTCCAAGCGGGCAAATTCGTGAACCAACAAATGAAATTGGTGTGGCCTGATGAAATTTTGAAATTGTAGAGATAATGGTTGCATTAAACAGTATAA